GGTTGTGGGACTTCAATTCCCATCAGCCTTAGCCAGTGCAAACTTGATGGGAGTTGTAGTTCAATATCTAGAAGGCCATAGGGTTTTTCTTTTTTTATGGTCCTTGTTCTGAGCGTCCCTCTCGTGCGTAAGAACCTCGAGGGGTGAACAGGAGATCAGCTCTCCTGGCTCCCCTGAACAGGCCAGACCCTCCGATTTCAGACGCTGAGCAGGATTGGGCCTGGCCAGTCCTCAGACCATCAAGGCAATAGCGAGGGTTTCCAGGTAAGGCTAGGAAAGGATCGGACCTGAAACCCCCAAGACTAGGGTCTGCCCTTAGGGTCCGACCCAAAGAAGTCTCCTAGGTTGGATTCAGAATCCAGCCATGAGGACTACGATCTTAGGTTGACTTACGTTGCTCACCTGATTTTCAGGTAGAAGATTCCAGGTTTAATCCAGCTGCGTCTGGGGTGAGGGCTAGGAAAGGGAAGCCTTGCTTGAAAGGGTGCAGAGCCCTTCCTGCGAGCCAGAGATGACGCTATGAGCCCCTTAATGAGGGAGTTTCCGGAGCTTCTGGGAGGGAGGGAAAAGTGGCCGCTGTGTTGCTCAGAGGGTCTTCTTTCTTTTTGCCAGGAGAGCCGGGATGTGTTCGGAGATGCCAAGCGAATCTGTAATCAGAGCAGCATTCCTGACCGCGGGTGAGCATCTGGCAACAGCAGGGGGAGGGCGCCCTCTGAATGCGGTTGGACTGTGACTCCTATCGTCCCCGGCTCTTGGCTTCCCTGACTCAGGCTGGTGGGAGTTTTCGTCTCCCCCTACAGATCGTGGAGATGTGTCTTTTTGGGTCCTGCACAAAATCTCCGTGCTCCCAGGGGACACACCCTGTGCTTCACCAGGAAATGTGCCAGTTTTTGAACTGGCACAGAACACCTTTCCCCAGTGGTGGCACCCAGTGAGACCTGGAAGCTGGCACACTCTTATTCTTACCTGGTTCAGGGCTTACTTTATGGGGCCAAATCCTTCAGACGGACTGCTCTGTGAGCCCTAACTCTACACTGCAGGAGATATGAAGGGAGGGCAGAACATGGTCTGATATCAGCTGAATATTCCCGTTGTCTTTCCTCCCTCACAGCGGATCACGTCACCTAATCTGGGAAGCGTACAGAAGGGAGGGATTCCACCCCCCTCAAAAGTTTCTCCGCGGTCTGCAGGTACGGTTGGAATAACACACACACACCTTTAGGGGCTTCCCGTAATGACATTTAAGGCTCTTTCCCTAAATGGAATTCGCAAAACAATACTCAGCCATTTTTACCCCTCTTTGTGGGGGGGGGGATGAGAGGAAGGAATAAAGTCTTGTTTATCCCACCTCCCCACTTACAATACAGACGTGATGAAATACTTCTGTTTTCTCTTCCCAGCATAAAGACGTCGCCCTTTTCTATCACCCCTGCCTTCACCCATCCCTCCGCCGACAGCTGATTCGGCTGGCCCGAGCCTGTGGGCCCCACATCCAGCTCACCCCACACAGGAGCCTCCCTCGGGAGCAGGTGAGTGAGGGGGGTGCAGAGAGGTGGGCTACAAACTCACCCCTCTTTCAGCCAGTTGAAATACGATTCTCCTTTTTTTTCATTCTCCAAAAAAATGTGCACAATTATTTATTTTGGGGGGTGAATTTTTAAAGCTGCGAAATCTTTTAAGCTGTTGTTGGAAGCAGAAGCACCGGATAGGTTGTTTGAGTCTTGGTGAACCACCAGCTGCTCCTCCTACGTGGGAGCATTTAGCTTTAGGACGGGTGACTATTTATGTATGTGTGAGATCTTTTTTTTTTAAATTCGGGCATTTAATTACCAAGCGCCTCTGTTATGGGGGGTGAATTTTTAAAGCTGCGAAATCTTTTAAGCTGTTGTTGGAAGCAGAAGCACCGGATAGGTTGTTTGAGTCTTGGTGAACCACCAGCTGCTCCTCCTACGTGGGAGCACTTAGCTTTAGGACGGGCGACTGTGTATGTGTGAGATTTTTTTTTTAATTCGGGCATTTAATTCCCAAGCGCCTCTGTTAGAACATTTCTAAACTCCAATGCAATAATCTATTTTTCTGGACTCCAACCCCCAGTATCCACACAAGCCTACCTAGGGATTCTAGGGGATGTAGTCCAAAATGTTACTGTTTCTAAAGCTCCGATCTCTTTATCAACCTCCCTGTTCTTGGGACATTCACTTAATCTGTGATTGCCTGTATTTGTTAAACTCGAGCTTCCACTCGTTATTTTTGGATCTGATCGATACCCTTCTGTTTACTTACAGTTGCCCCTTTTTATAGCTTGTTTTTAAAAATAAGTTTTTGGCTATACATGAGAGGTTGGGTGTGTGTGTGTTTCACGTCTCTTGTCCAAGGGAGAGGCTGTGTGTGTGTGTGGGGGGTTCAAAGCTAAATGCACAAGACTCTTCTCACTCCGATCCGGGGGAAGGGGGTTCCCTTCTTGCTGTCACCGCCGGCCTCTCTTTCGATTCTGAAGCCCCTGGCCTTGGCGTCGTGGGACATCGCTCGACGGAGGCCCAAAGCGGAACTGGCCCGAGACGTATCACGGCAGCTCACGAGGCAACCGGGTGCCAACAAGTCGGAGGAGGGAGGCCGGAAGGGTCGCCCGGTGTGGGAGCTGGCGCCCCTGCTCGCCAAGATCAGAGCCGTCTGCAGGAATCACCGGGCGCAGGTGAGGTATCGGTCAGTTGGGTTAAAAAAGGAAATTAATTTTGAGAAAAAGTGCTATGAAGTCTTGGCTTACATCACCAAACGGGGGTCAATCCCGTCTGGTATTTGAATTGGGTGGAAACGTATTGCAACCCTTAGCCGGTCACACACACACACTCTCTCTCTCTTCTGAGACCACCCGGCCTCCTGGGATTGAAGAGGGTACCTTTTTAGATTACATATCCCAGCATCCCCAGTTGTGGGGGGGGGAATCTAAATGAGTTAACTTTCTCGTGCTCCGCCGGCCTTGCAGAAGACCGTTGTGATGAATAAGGCGGTGGGATGGGGCCGGCCGCACGGAGAGGTTATAATGGAGACTCAGTAGATCCATACATTAAATAAAATAGATGAAGACCTCGCCTCACCTCTCTGCCCCCCCCTGCAGGCTTTTCAGAGGTTCTTCCAGAAGCAGGCAGAGAAAAAACCATCAAAGCTGCAGCCACGGCGCCGGCGGGCTTTTCTGTGGCCGGGACGGCCAGCATCGTCACCTAAAGCCCAGAGGGGCAACAGGAATCTAGCAGCCACGACGTCGGCTCACCGAACCTCGGCCACCAGCTTGCCGACTGGAAAAAAAGACGTTCCGGAGCCATCCGGGCCCGAGGGCGAAGGGCGCCTGAGTGCGCCGCCCCACCCAGGC